TAGCAGTGAAAAAAACAAAACAGGGCTGGGGCTGTAACTCAGACGGTAGAGCACTTGCCTAGCATGTGTGAGGCACTGGGTTCAATCCTCAGCACCACATAAAAATAAATAAATAAAATAAAGGTAGTGTGTCTATCTACTGTAAAAAATATTTAAAAACAAAACCAAACCACAACTATTAGTATGAAGGTGAACTATACTAGTATGACCTGATCTTTGTTCCCATATCACCCAGCTTGGGCAGGTCATTCCATATTTACAAAATCAAATAAACTTTCATCTTTTCAAAATTTTTTTTAAAAAGCATACAGCAGATGAAAGGATTAATGCATCTTCAGCTCTCAACTAGGAATAAAACTTTTTAGAGAACTATTAAGAAATCAAAAAATAAGAAAGAGTGCTGGGGCCTGGGGCTGAGGCTCAGTGGCAGAGTGCCTGCCTTGCACATGTGAGGCACTGGGTTCGATCCTCAGCACCACATAAAAACAAACAAAAAAACCCCATATATATATATATATATATATATATATATATATATATATAGAGAGAGAGAGAGAGAGAGAGAGAGAGAGAGAGAGAGAGAGAGAGAGAAAGAGAGCTGGGCATGATGCTGCACACATATAATTCCAAAGACTAAGGAGGCAGAGGCAGGAGGACTGCAAGTTTGAGGCCAGCCTCAGCAACATATGGAGGCCCTAAGCAACTCAGTAAGATCTTGTCTTGAAGTAAAAGATTAAAAAAAAGTTGAAAGCAAAAAAGAAATATTCATGGAGGATAAACTACAACAAATATATGAAGAACAAATATATTCTTTATTCTATTTACACACACATGAAACTGTAAACATAAAATTGACTTTCTGCCCTTAAACACATTCCTGGGTTTACATGTAATTTGGCAGTTCTTTCCTCACATTATGGATTCTTCAAGTGCTCTGTGAGAGATAATCAAGAGCCTCATTCTCTGCACTATCCTTGGCACTCTCTGTTAGGTATACTTTGAAGTGGGTAGTCATAGTAACACTGCCAGTCTTTTTCAAGATTCTCTTTTTTTTTTTTTCCTTTTTATTCCTTTTCTAGGCCTCCTCCCATCTCAAAACAGCACATACAAATAAGAAAGAAAACTGCTTCTTTGCGAGTGGGACATTTTGTACACTGCTTTAACTGGGAGAAAAAAGATAAGGACAGAGATGTGGGCTATTGCCTTAAACATAAATGTTGGCTGTAGCTTTGAGAGTTGGAAAAATAGCTGTAAATAAAATATATGAACAGTACAAATGGCAGGAATGCCTCTCCCGCACAACTCTAAGGAGAAGCCATTTTTTGTCCGCACTGTCTATTCACAAGAAGACCTGTAATGTTAGAATGGAAAAGGAAGGCATTATAAGTACTGCAGAAGTTGGGGATGTAGCTCAGTGGTAGACTGCTTGCCTAGCATGTGAAGCCCTGAGTTTGATTTACACCACGCCACCACCAAAAAAGGTACTACACCATGGCGTGCATTTAGCTCCTTTTCAGATGGCTGATGAGTACTGGCTTGGAATTTCATACACCAAGAGGGAATAGGCACCATGAAATACAAACTCATGTGTTTGTGAATACATGAAGAAGTCTGGGAAGCAAACTCACCAAATTCAGAAACAGGTACCTTCAAAAAGAAACAAGTGGCTAGGGGATGTGTTGAGGCCCATAAAGAGTAAAGTACTTTGTTAAGATATACTTTTCTATTTTTTTAAAACAAAACAAACAAACAAAAAAAGCTACATTCCTAGCCTTTGTATTTTTTTTATTATAAAACATCTAGACAATCACAGTAGCTCTATGTGCTACTATTACTTGTAATTTTTATGTAATACATTTTAAAAAGGTATGGTAGAGAAGAGAATATGAGTATTTTTTGTTTGTTTTGTTTTTGAACCCAGGGGTGCTTTGCCACTGGGCTACAGCCTCTGGCCCTTTTTATTTTTTATTTTGAGACAGGGACTTACTAAAATTGCTGAGGTTGGCCTCAAATGTGCAATCTTCCTGCCTCAGCCTCCTGAACCACTGGCACTATAGGCATGTATTACTTTGCCTGGTGAGAATATCAGATTTAAAAGTTAGAAAAAAACTGAGCAGATATGCAACACTCAAAGATTCAGAAAAAGACGAAGTACATCAGAAGCCTTCTTTCATACTGTATTTATGAAAGCTGATTTTTATGAACATTGTATCCTACAAAATTTTGTACATGTCAAAAATCCTAAAAAGTTTAGGCTACCTGTCTGTACACCTGTTTGTTATGCTTTAGCACTGTCATTTAAAAACAAAGCTTCTAAACTCAAATGTAAACATTAATTTAAAAAGTTTGAGTATAGTCACAATTTCTAAAGTAAAAAGAGAATACTACTTTACTACACAGTCTTTCCATGCTGTTATGTATAGTATACTTTTTGGCATATACATCAAGGAGTTAAAAACTGAGTGCTCAGGAAGCAGATCTTAGTTCCCATATTATTTGGTGTTGAGTTTAGGTTTAAGTACTATCCTGTTAATTAAAATGAAGTCTTTCAGGAGGCTGAAGCTGGAGGATTGTGAGTTCAAAGCCAGCCTCAGCAACTTAAGGAGGCCCTAAGCAACTCAGTGAAACCCTGTCTCAAAATAACATATAAAAGAGCTGGTGATATGGCTCAGCTCAGTGTTTAAGCACCCCTGGGATCAATTCCTGGTACAAAAAAAAAAAAAAAAAAAAAAAGTCTTTTAAAACTATTTAATCTCAGTTTCTTAAATGAACAGTCAGGAGAATCAGAGTTCTGATAGTTAGGTACACTGTAGAAAGCAATACTGCATTGACTCTAAGGGCAACCAGGAAGTATTTTCATTCACATCTAGAGTATTCGTATTTAAGTAGATTTGGGTTTTAAAGTACATAAAAATATCACATACAACTAAAAATTCAAAATTAAAAAAAAAAAAAACACACTTTAAAGTCAATTTTATATTTGAATAAAATATGTAACACTGATTTTTTAAATTAATATGAATGTCTTTAAAGACAGAGGAAATGAGACCTGTGCATGTTTCCAGCAATTTTTCTGAGCACTTACTTACACATCAATGAACTATTTCAGAAAAAAAGATCATGAAGAAATTCTTGAACTTTTATATGCTAGCATATCACTCCATACTAGAATATTATAAGCTCAACTAGAATATTATACACATGAAATTTTAGTTTTAAGTTTTCCATTTACTGATCACCATTACACTTAGGCCCCAATTTCTAACAATACTTAAAAAAATAAAAGTCAACGTTTATCAAAAAGAAAAAAAGTCAAATAAATCAAATAAAGTAACTGAAATTCAAATATAAACAACTGGTATCTTGTACATAATCTTTACACAAAAAACTGACAAGAGTGTCATACTATACTGATGTGGTTGGTAAGCAAATTACACAGAAATAGAAAACTGTGAAGAGAAGAAAAAGAGTCTGTGTTTAAGTACAAAGCAGAAAGCAGATTCCTTAGAAAAATGTTGCAAGTGTTGATCATATTCTTGTTTTTACCTCTTCTGCTATACAGAAAGATTCATTTCTGCTAAGGTGAGACACTCCTATCTGGAGACAGTGCAGACCATTCCAACACTTACACTGCTGTTACTAAGATTTTTAGTCAATGGTTCCTCTTGGAATCCAATTTCCAAATAAGTAACAAAGTGAAGTAATACTGAACGACCACCGGGTGAATCCAGTTGACCCTCACTGTTAACCTGATAAACCATCTCAGTTTTGGATCTCTGATGTTTGGTAGACCAGGAATCTGGGTCAACTTCATTCCTTCTCTTTGGCTGTTATTGAGGACAAATCATATAATTTATTCTGATCTTCAGTTTCCTCATCTGAAAAGCATCATATTTGGCTCACAGAGACATGTTAACCATGATAATCACAGCACATGCACATAAGAAATATTCAGCAAACGCTTAACTTTTCCTAGGGGTTGAAGCAGGAGGCAGAAAAAGCAAAGTCAGACTTTCTTGGCAGTGCTGAGCACTTATAAAGAAAGATCTGGGGGTGGGGGGGGGAGTGGGAGAGACGGAAAACAGGAACACTCATCCCAAGCAAGGTATCTGACATTTACAGCATATTTTGTAAGCCACATTTTCATACTTTTGAAATTTTGTCTTTTTATGCCAGATTTAACACTCTTGCAAGAATCCTCACATTAACTACTCTAGAGGCCCGCTCATTGCCAGTAGCAATATGCATTTGTTGACTAATTCAGCAGCCCAAAAGGGTTCCCTGCATTCTGAGGGCTCAAGTGTGACAGTGGCTTTCAAACGTGGAGGCCTCTTCCTGACAAAAGATGAAAAACTGGCAGGTTCCTAAGTGAGCCACACTTTTCCTTCTCATCATGTTCCTCGCGCTTCGGATTTTCTTCCCTTTCGGGGAGGCGCATCTTTAATATTTACGGGTATGGAGTGTACACTCGTGAAAAATTCACTCGAACCGCTGGGGCCACCCGGGCCTCGGTGGCGCGGCAGCCACACCTACTTGGCTGTAGCTGCGCCGGGAACCTGCGAAAGGCGGGCCAGCACGGCCGCGGGGGCTGTGGGCGCCGCCCCTCCTCGACTCCACGCAGGACGGGTCCCACTCCACCGGCCGGCCGAGGTAGGAAGCCGGGATGGAGGCTGGTGGGCGGCTAGACGCCCCCGCCCGAGCACGTGGGAGGCTGCGAGGACTAGCGCCCAGCCCCAGAGGGGAGGGAGACCAGGCCGGGCGGGAGCCCTTGGCCTGGGGACACTCGGAGGTAAATAATCCCACGGCCGGACCACAGTCATCCCCGTCTCCCACATCCGGGCGTCCCGGGACAGGACCTCCCGAAGGCCGCCCCTAGCACCCCCGCCTCCCGGCCGGCCTGGCGGGGCAGCAGCGGGAGGCGGAGCTCCACGGGGGCCGGGCCGGCCCTTCCCGGCCGACTGCCCGCTTCCCTGCCGGCGTCCCCATCCCCCGCCACTCACGGTGCTTGCCGCCGCTGCCGCCGCCGCCGCTCGGGTAGCTCAGCAGCAGGAAGGGCAACGGGGAGCCTGGCGACGGCGGGGTCCTCCAGGAGCGCTGCTGCTGCGGCGGCGGACGCGCTGTGAAGCCCGCGCCTCCATCGCCCGGGTAGAGAAGGAAGAAGGGGGCGGCCACCGGCGAGTCGGGCTCGGACTGCCCGGAGGGAGAGACCGGCGGCGGCCCCGCCTCGCCTTCTGGGTCCTCAACCCCCGCGGCATCGCTGCGCGGCTCCTCAGGCCGCTTCTCCCCGCCCCTCTTCGGCTCCTCGCAGCAACTTTCAGCACCAGCGGTGGGCGGCGGCGGGGTCTCAGCCATGCTCTCCTAGCTTCGCCGCCGCCTCGGACTAGCGTCCCAGCCCGGGTAGGAGGCAGAGGGTCACGGCGAGGAGCCGCCGCCCCGTCCCGTCCGCGCCGCCGTCGCCACCTTTCTCCCTGTCCGCGGGCGGGTGCCTGGGCTCCGCCGCTCGGTTCACAGCCCGCCCCGCCGGGTCCGCGCCAGCTGGAGGGACCGCCCCGCCCGACGGCGCGGCCTTCCTACCGGCCCCCTCCCGCCCCTCCCGCCCGGGCTCCCAGCCTGCGACTCGGCTCCCCTAGGGGGCAGCGTCCTCCTCTCCCCACCTTCCGCTTCCCTCCCGATCCTTGGGAGGAGACGGCTCTGGTGCCGATCCTTACCCGCCCCGGCACCGTCTTGAGGCGGCCAGATGTATTTCTCCCTTGGTGCTTCAGGTGGGAGACTAGGCGAGATATCCAGGGGTGTTTATGTGTAACCCCCAACTTGTCGGTAGCACGAAGGCACAAAGAGCTGGGTTTAAGAGGCGACACAGATTTTTTTAAAAAGGAACCTCTTTCCCCTAGGCACTAAATTGTACCATTTACTATCCGTATACTGGAACTTGAACCGTTGATTCACGGTTTTGATTCTTTTGAGCTTTGTATACGATAAACCAGAGAAACGTGTCTTCCATCCAGCTCCCCTTTTGTTCCTTGTCTGCGTTGTGTAGGAATCTTGTGTTTGTTTTGACTTTAATTCCTTAGTTTTCCAGTACTCCGGACGTGCGGGAGAACATTTTAAGCCAACCAGTTTAGAATTTATATGGCATTTGTCTATTACAGGTCGACAATTTCACTTTCAAAGGGCTTGTGTCATGCTAGCAATTGACCACCGTTGCTTTATTTTGAATATTTAAACCAATTCCAGAAGTAAACAGATTTTTCTCTACGAAAGACTATTTCCAGTTTTTATTTTTCTTTAACCTGGATTCCTAGCTGTTAGCTTTGTGTTGGGTTGCAAAATGCTGGCACAGACTCCATGTTGACTCATACATAGTTAAAAATCACTGTTGTGTAACATTTTGCCTACCTGTTTTTCCCTCCTCTTTTCAGTCTTTTCCCTTTGTACACTTCTCTGAAAGGAAAAGTAAACCTTTTTATATCTATTTATATCTATTTTTTATTGTAAATCACTCTTGAATTACCACCAGAGATTATGGTGAGACTTCTAATACTATTCTTCACCGTTCTTTGAAACAAGAAGCATTTAAAAAGGAAAGGTTTACAAGAAGTTAATTTCAAGCAATCTTTAAAAATTTCTTCTGTAGCTTTTTTCTGGCATTTCCTTGACCTGTTGATCCTAGTCCTACTGCCTTGTTTGAGCAAGTCATTTGCCCTCTTCTCTAAAATGATTATATAACTTGTAGGGATCATGTGAAGGTTAAGTAAGAAATTTAAGTAAGGCCTTTAAAACACTAACATAAGGTTAAGTACTTATTTTTAATTATATTTAGCCATTTTGACAAACCAGCATGTAACTTTCAAAAATAAAAAAAACTGAGTTGGGAAAAAAATTCTTTTTCATCATCCTTTGGCATGGAGGTTTAATTTTTTGATGAGAATGAGTCTTAGTTAAAAGACATTTCTTTCAGGAGTTGTGTCTGTTCTCAAAGAGAAAAATGAAAAGATTCTAGATATATGACTTTAATACCTGTCCTGAACTGCATCTTTCATTTTGTTTTTGTATTAAGAAATTCCAAAGGGTATGTGTGTGAATCCCTGCCCCCCTTCCTCCTCCCAGATTGAACTCAGGGCCACTTTATCACTGAGCTACTTCCCCAGCTTGTCTTTCTTTCCTTCCTTTTATCTTTTACTTTGAGGCAGGATTTTGCTACATGGCTGAGGCTGGCTTCAAATTTGTGATCCTCCTGCTTCAACTTCCTGAGCCAATTGGATTACTGGGGTTTGCCACTGTGCAAGGCAAGATCTTTATATTGTTATCAGATTCTTTCCTAAAGATGTTTTGCAGTGTTTCAGTAAAGAGTCTGGAAAGATTCTATGCTTACCCCATTGTAGGTAAAGGAAAAGAAATCAGAAGCTTCCTGAACTTTTTTTTATACCTTTATTTTTTTATGTGGTGCTGAGGATCCAACCCAGGGCCCCCACACGTGCTAGGTGTGCAGTCTACCCCTGAGCCACAACTCCAGCCTCCCCCCCCCCATTTTTAAACTTTGACTTTATTTATTGTGTGTGTGTGGTACTGGAGATTGAACCCAGAGGCCCTTTACCACTGAACCACACTCTCACCCCCTTTTTACTTTATTTTTAGACAAGGTCTTGCTAAATTGCCCAGGCTAGTCTAGAACTTGCAATCCTCCTGAGTTGCTGGGATGACAAGCATGTGCCACCACTACCGGCTTAAATTTTTGACTTTAAATGACATATATTTCTGTAGACTTGAAGATTACTGCAACTCTATTTCATCTTCATATACTTGGCCTTCATGATTTGTCACCAGCAGCTTCTTGTCACTGCCTTCCACTCCCCTGCCAGGTTCTTTAGGATCTCCTGAATAATTATTCCTGAGAAAGGCCAATCTAATTAGCCAAGGAGGTCACCAAGTTATAAAATGCTATCTAGACTAAATGCCAGCTTTATCCTTTCTTGTTAAACCAAGATATTTACAGAGGTGTAGATATATACTGTGGAATTTTGCAGTGTTTTGTTTTTTGTGCCTCTCTAGTTTAAAAATGGTTCTATTGTCATTGACAGTGTGATGAATACAAAAAAACTCAACTGAATTACTAGTTTAAAATTTATAGGCAAGACTAAACTTTTCTTTCAAGGTGATAGTACTCCAAGTTCCTAATTTCTTATGCATTTAGCTTTTAGATCAATAATATAATCACAGCTCTGCATTAATGTTAGTGACGTAAAGGGCTGATTCAGCTGCTACACACATTTAAGAAAGCCAGCATTAAAAAAAAAGGCTAAACATGTTGTTCCTTCTTGAAAATGCAGAGAACATCTTCCTGTATTATTTTATAGTGACAAAATCCAAGCCTAATAACTGAGAATCAAGCTCTTAATTTTCTTGTGGAAAAAAAGCAGGAGGTGCCTTTTTATCTGCAGTTTTAGTTACTCATGTTTAGTTTTTAAACATCCTTCGGTGATCTTTAGAATATATAAAAAGAATATATATTTAGAATATATCAAAAGCCTTTTAGAGATCAATGTCATGGATGATAATGTTTTTAGTATAGCTACTTAATGCTGTGAATCAGAAGATACCACTTGAGAAGGGTAGATTTACTTTTTTCATTATAGTATAAGAATAATTATGATGATGAGATAATGGTTTCCTTGAATCTTTTGTTTGAGAGTATGGTACTTGGGAAAAGTCTTATTTGAAAACAAGGCACTCAATTTAAGAATTTGTGTGAAAGTTGGGCATGGTGGCCCAGACCTGTAATCCCAGTGGCTCTGGAGGCTGAGGCAGGAGGATTGCAGATTTGAAGCCCCACTCAGCAACCTAGTGAGACTCTGTCTCAAAAAATAAAAAGGGCTGGGGATGTGGCTCAGTGGTTAAGCGCCTTTGGGTTCAATCCCTGGTACCAAAACACACGCCCCCAAAATCCTCAAAACTTAATGTTAAATTAATTTTAATAAATGTAGTTTATTTATACCAGTTAATACAATGCCTCAAATGTGAAAACTTTTTGAGTCCACTGTACTTCTGAATTATTAAATTTTGATGACTCATTAACTTATTTTTCTAAAACATGAATTAGCCAGTTGTACTTCCTGTTTATTTACTCTTAAGAAATAAAAGCAATATATTTAGTTCGATCAACTAATGGCAGTTTTCTCTGGGTGGTAGAAACATGGATGTATTTTTCTATTTTTCATCTTTGCAAGCAGTCTAAAATGGATGTTACTTTTATATTAGAAATTGTGTTGAAATGCTATTTTTTTTTTTTTTTTTGTACCAGGGATTGAACTCAGGGGCACTCGACAACGGAGCCACATCCCCAGCCCTATCTTGTATTTTATTTAGAGACAGGGGCTCACTGAGTTGCTTAGCACTTTGCATTTTGCTTGCGATTCACCTGTCTGAGCCTCCCCAGCCGATGAGATTACAGATGTGTGCCAGGGCACCCAGCTGAAATGCTATTTTGATTAATAAATAATTATATCTTTAATGAAGATTTACCAACAGGAAGGCTGTGTTCCTTGGGTATTAAGAGGCCCAAACCCATAGGAGTTTGTGTCTATTTAGTGTTTAATATTTTAATAATGTTGCTGAAGTCATCTGGTTGGTTGCTTTTATTTTCCTTCTAATGACTTCATCTATTTTGTTTCAATTCTTATGCTCTCCAGATTTCTATCAAATATCCCTTTGTTCTCTCTGCTTTGTTATTCTTCGCTTGCTAATATTATTGCAAAAGACTCAGCTGGTTCCTGCCTCTAGTTTTTTTTTTTTTTTATGTTTTTTAGTTGTTAGTGGACCTTTATTTATTTATAAGCTGTGCTGAGAAAAACCCAGAGCCTCACACATGCTAGGCAAGCCACAACAACCCCAGCCCTTCTGCCTCTAGTCTTAATGCATCCTAGTTCCCTTCCCTACAGCAGCTATTAGGGGTAGTATAATTTACTTTTCTGAAGATTGACCAATATGTTGTACCATTTCTCAAAAATCTTGGTTGGTTTCTCCTTATCTGGGATACAATATAAACTCCTTAACCACCTAGGATTTTCGTCATCTAACCCCTAGCTTTCCAGTGTTATCTTCCTACCTTGCTTTACTTCTGTAGCTGTTGGCTAACACTTTGTTTGGCATTCCCCTATTGCCAGAGCCACTTTTTCATTCTTCCTGCCAAGATTCTGCTTGAATATATCATGAAACTTTCTCCATTCTCCCTACATGCTTCTTTTTGAGGTTCCAATAGCATCTTATTTAAGCAGTTAATTGCTTTAATTATAATAGGCCTATCTTCTCCATTTTACAGTGTACAAATGTATTCCTCTAAGTAGTTCCCAGTCCTCCTTCATTTTTCAAATGCCTAAGATCCTATCCAAATTCTTTGATTTCTGTCTGTGGCCATCTGGGGAAGTTTTATTTTTATTTGGCTTAAAT